GAGAGAGAGAGAGAGAGAGAGAGAGAGGAATAAGAAGGAGTAAAGATGAATCGCGAGTGCGTACGACCCAGCCCGGGGCCCGGGCGTCACGGCCCAGTGGCTGCGGCCCCTCCTGGACGCCCTCTCTGTCTCTTTCAACCCCCCGCCCCCTTGCTACACACCTCACAGTTCACACACCCAACCCCCTCACCCCCTCGCCCACTACTCCATTCCGGACGAAAGGCGAAGAGGCAGAGCCCAGATTGCAAGCCCGGAGCCGTTTGTAAGACTATTGATAGGCTTACCTACCCTTCCCTCCCTCCCTCCCCCGGGGCGGTTGGCCCTGCGCAGCAGGCTGGCCAACGGCCTGCAATAGCAGGGCCCAGCCTCATTGTTCCCCACCGAGCTCAAGGTTGACCCACTGCAGGGGTTGGCTGCGCTCTGCGCTGTGCCCTTCCCTTCCAGCTGGGGACAGGACAGGGCATCGGGTCCCCTACACACAGCAAAGCAAATACATCTTATTGTCTGCTCTGCGAATATCACCAAATAATTGCACAGCCACTTTATGAAAAGTTCTACCAACCATGACGAAAAGTCACAACCCTTTATTTTACATAATTTCAAGACAATAAGTAGAGCTATGCAATGTAATGAAAGTAAAAGAAAAGAAAAATCACACAGTCGTGGAACAGGCGAAACTAATAAATTCAACGTAACTGTTGAGACACCCGAAAGTTTCTTTTAGGTGTATACCTGGTGGGACAGTGTTCTCTCTGAGAGTGAGACAGCTGCGACGGCGGCGACGAACCTCGGGGGATGTGTCTGCTCCTTCGCAGCGAGAGGAGACGTCCCCGGGGAGACAAAAGGGAGGAGCAGCAGTGTGCCACTGCGGGTGCAGCTGGCTGCAGCTGCGGCAGCTGCGGCAGCTGCGGCTGGGGGTGTATGTGAGATGAGCCTTGCAGTGGACACTTTGCAGCTGCTTTAGGTAGGAGGGTCCCCGCCCCGAGAGCGCGGCGCCGGCTGGAAGTAGGTCGACCTCTCCACCTCACACCATCTATCTATCTATCTATCTATCTATCTATCTATCTATCTATCTATCTATCTATCTATCTATCTACCTACCTCGCGCGCCCACGTCCCTCCCTCCTGGCGTTTGTCTGTTCTCCTACATAGTTTTGCTCTTTATGGCTGTGCGTCGCCCCCACCCACCCACCCCTTCAAGGCTATTGGTCTTCCCTCCCCCAACTCCAGCACACTTCTCGTCCCTTTTTCCACCTCTCTGTTTTTCTCTCATCCGGGCTGTAGGCATTTTTTTCTTTTTCTTTTCTTATTTTTTTCTCCCCTTTTCCCCTCTCCCCCCTGCTCGCCCCCCGATGCGCGCGCCGGGCATTCCGTTTCCTTTCGCAAAGTCGTATGCACGTTGTTTTTACTCTCCCTCACCTTTCGTCTCCACAGCAGCGCTCTCTCTCCCCTCGGCTGCCTCCTTTCCCTGCTCTCCTTTCCACGCTGCGGCTGCTCGCTGCACGCGGACAGGGGCAGGGGTCCCTTCTTCACGTCCTGTGCCGTGGCATTCGGATCCCCCCGCTGGTTGGCTCCATTGCGTGCACTTGCTATGGGGCGCGGGGGCGCTCAGAGGCGTGGCGAACGACGTGGGGGGCTTTAGGGTTCGCCGCCAAGAGGGGGGAAAAAGCAAAGTAAAAATCAATACGTATACTACACTGGAAACAAGGTCCACCCCCTTCGGCCCCCCCCTCCGGCAGATGCAGTCGCCCGCTCCCCCGCAGGCGCCTGCTAGCGCGTGCTTCGGCCCGAGACTCCGACGGACAGTGACGTGACCACACGTTCCACTTCGGAGAGAGAGAGAGAGAGAGAGAGAGAGAGAGAGAGAGAGAGAGAGAGAGAGAGAGAGAGATGAGATGAGATGAGATGAGATGAGAGAGAAGCGTTAGCGTCAGATACTGCATGCCCTATAGGGCTTGTGTGCAAATACTATGGCCTCCCATTGGGTTCAGGGTCGCCAATGGAGTTCATAGGAACCCCATGGAAATTTGTTACCCCGCGGTACAAATATCGTGGGCCCCTATGGACTCCAGTGGTGAAATGAACCTAATGGAAAGCCTTTAGGAATACAATTTTTTTTTATCCTGTGGTTCAAATATCATGGGTTCTGTGGAGTCCAATAATGGTGAAGCAGTACCTAATAATGCAAGGCCATAATTGTCCCCCCCCCTCCTCTCCTGCGGGCTGCGCGGCAGGAGGTAGCAGTGTGCCGGCAGCGCGGCGCCCGGGCCGTAGGCAGCCCATCTGCCACCTCTGAGTGAAACAAATAAATGCGAGGCCGACCGTCGCTCTGTGTTCCGCCGCCCGGAACAACGCGGCCGGGGGCGACGAAATTGCGCTGTTTAGGATGACGGTCGTGAGAAAAGCGCATCCCCCCCGCCTCGTCCCCTACCCCGCACCAGTCCCGCCGTCCCTACCTCTCCCTCATACCCCTCGGCTAGCAGGCGCGTGTGAGTCGCATAGCAGATGAACAGCCGGCCCGAGGCGGCCCCGCTCGGCTAGAGAAGGAGGGGGCCGGCGCTGGCTATGGGCTCGGGGAGGAGTCCCGGCCGCAGCCTTGGGCCGTCCTGCAGCGAGTATCCGCCCGCACAGAAACGCGTAAGCGCGTCAAGGAGTTGCTCATCAAGAACTGCGCTTCCGTTTGGAAATCAGTCCATCGATCTCATGCGATGACTATCGACTGTTCAATAGAAAACGCAAATGTATCATTTACGATTTTAGAAAAAATAGGGGGGAAAAAGGCTGTATCTTTTAGAGGGTGAGTAACAGACAATTGATAAATTACACACGTATGTTCAAAATAATTCAAAGTGTCCATTTTAAAAATAAGTAAAAAAACAAAACAAAAAAAAACAAAAAAACAATTTATGAGGTGAATGATGTAAAAACAATATTGAATCCATAAATGGATACCCGCGTCGTGAAACATCGTGGCAGAACCGGCGCGAGCGGCGCTAGCGGCCGTCGTGACGTCATTTGTTGTGGGGGAGCGTGCTTTAGTGCTTTATCATTAGCGCACACTCGTACGCCCCGCCCCGCCACGCCACGCCACTCACCAGCGCCGCTATTAGCCGTTTCGGTCCAATTTCTCGCAGTTCCTGCGACGCGCCCTGTATGGCAATCCTTTGGCGATGCTATGTTGTAACCCCAAGGGCATAGTCGCGAAAACACTCTACAATCCAACAACCAAAGAACGGAGCTGTTTACAACTGTTCATAGTTTAAATCCTTATTATTAAAATAATTGCCGGGTGAGCATCACGAACTGAACAGCTTGAAACTGTCAACTGTAAGTGCGACGTTGATTCTATCAATAACGACTGCAGGCTCTTTTTACAATTTTTGCGATTATTTCTTTTTTTTTGTTACGAAAAACTACTGTGTGTGTTGTGCATATCCTGCAAATTTACGATTTAAAATTCCTAGAGTGGTTTGTCAGTGGAGTCGTTGTGTATTGGAAGAGGGGTTTGCATAATGATGATTGTTTCAACAACCTGATTTAATTACTATTCTAATTCCGATTTGGCATTGGAAAATGCAACAAACAGTCACAACGCAGTTGCAATAAATTACTATCCAGTCTTTCGTCGCGAAACGCACACAGCCAGGGACGGAATGTGTTTTTGCTCATTTTCTAAATGGCAGCTCTCAATGCTAATGGAACATTAATCATGGCATTTTTCACTATAAACTAACAGCTAAGTGAATCGCACAAAGGACTAGTAAAAATACCTTCAAAGGACCGCATTTACAAATTATGTCTTTGCTAGAAGCGGAACTTTATCCTCTTTCTGGGCCCTACGTTACGTACGTATTTAAAGTAGATCACAGCGTTTTGTTGGTCCCAAATTATCAAGATTATGCTTAAACTGACAACATAATGATAAAACTGCATTCGCAGACGTATTAACTCTTAAGTAACTGTCGCTTATTGGAAGTTTTGGCATCAGTGTTCTCGCAAGCTCATAGAAATACAAACTACTTTTCTTTTTTTGTAAAATGTTTGGAATTGAAATACCCTTTTTTTAAAAGATCAAATGTGAATTACGAAAAATGCGTACAAAAATGTATACGATATTGAGTAAATTCCATTACTCACGACAAGAACAAATCGTGAGCTCTTTGCGAGCGGCAAGGTAATGGACGAGTGAAAGTGTGGGTGCTCTCCTCCCTCCGCAACTCTTTGTCGGGCAGATGGACGACTGGCACTCTGCTGCCGTGCTGACCGGCGGTCCGGCGACCCGCGCCGTCCTGAGTGCAGCCATTTAGTCTGGTGAGTGCGGGGGACGGCTCTATCGGGCCCGGAGGAGGACAAGCAGTGCGCCGACCAGGAGGAGCGAGGCCGGGAGCGCGCGGTCGGACGCCGAGGGCGTTGGGGACGGCGCCGGCGTGCTCATGCTCGTGGGCGTCGGCGTGGAGGTGCTCGGCGCCGGCGTGCTCGTGGGCGTCGGCGTGGAGGTGCTCGGCGCCGGCGTGCTCGTGGGCGTCGGCGTGGAGCTGCCCGCGTCCTGGAACACGATCCTGTTCTCCAGACTCGGGTACACGAGCCCGCGCTTCTGGATGTAGTCCTCGACCGCCACGGCGTCCGTGTTCTCTGCAAAGAAAAAAATAAAAT